AGATTCTTGATGCAATTGATGCAATTATTTGACACAATTAATTGAGTTACTATCAAAACATATAAATGATTGAATCATCATGCAATTATTTTTGAAAATTTTGAGAATTGAGTCAACAGCAAATAATTTATATTACATGTATAATAATTACTATTCAGATACAGCTAGTATATAATATTGTTTTGAATTTTTTTTTTCAATATTAGATAGATATGTATATATAAGCAAGCTAGCATTTAACTTTCTGAAATATTGAAAAAGATATTGTTTTTTTCACAATGTATACCTTGTTATATACAATATCAAATAAAGAAATGATATTTACCTATGGGGAAAACCCTCTCTCAAAAAAAAAAAAATGATTTAATAATTTTTTTTATTTAAATTAAAGAAAAATTTTATTTTCATTTAATAAGAAACTTCTTTTATTATCAATTATTTAATGTAATAAATTTATATAGTAACAAAATTGTATAAATAAATATTTTGTCACCTATACTACATTTTAATTAAATATATTATTATTTTATACAATGCAGCCTTTGATTGGTTACCAGTTAGGATCGCAGTTGCAGACCTTTAATTTCATGTCGCGTCTCAAATCTTTCATCTCATTCTGAACTTGTTAAGATGGGTATCCAATGCCTTCTTCAATCTCTTAAATCTATCCAGACCAATATTTCCATTGCAAAATATTCTGGAACGACAGTTGGCGTGGACGCATATTGTTGGCTTCACAAGGGTATTCACACGTGCATGAGCGAGCTTGTCTGGAATAGACCTACCACAAAGTGCGTATTTTCTTTGGCATTTTTTCACAGCATGATTAATGCATAGCTGAAGAATTTCCCTGCAGATACGTAGATTATTGCATGAAGCGTGTACAAATGTTGAAGAGCTACGGTGTCCGCCCATTCATTGTTTTTGATGGTGGATTATTACCGGCAAAACTTAACACAGAAACAAAACGTAAACTGTAAGAATTATTTTGTTTTTGTAAAATTATCCAATAAAAAAAGCATAATTGTGCAAATATATCTTTTTTGCAAAAAGAAAACGCGAAGAGTATCGCCGTCTAGGTCAAGAACTTTTTAAAAAGGGACGCGTTCGAGAAGCCAGGAATTTTTTAGAGAAAAGCGTTGATGTTACTCCGGAGATGGCATACAAATTTATTCAAGTGATAACCCATCTCTTTCTTTCTTTTCCTTAATCCATTTTGATGTTTTATTCTACAACATAATTTCTTTTTTTAATGAACATGTAGGCTCTGCGAGCTGAAAAAGTGGAATACATGGTGGCACCTTATGAGGCAGATGCGCAATTAGCATACCTTGAAAAGAAAGATCGAATCAAAGCCATAATCACAGAAGATTCTGATTTGCTCGTATTTGGATGCAAGACGGTACGCAAATAGGTTTTACTTTAATACTCTTGAACAGTGGTTTAACCCGAGGATTCTGCCATTGATTTCAGGTGATTTACAAGTTGGATTCAGACGGGAGTTGCGTCGAAATTTGTCGGGATAATTTCGGAAAAGTACAAGAGATAAACATGGTTGGTTGGACCGATGTGCAATTTCGTCACATGACGATGCTATCTGGTTGCGATTATTTACCGTCAATCGTGGGAATTGGACTTAAATCTGCTTACAAATATATAAGGAGATATCGAACCGCCGACAAGGTTAGAAGGCAATATTTCGAAATTGATATTATACAACTTTATAAAATTATAACAGTCCTTTGTTAGGTGTTGGTTCTTTTACGAGCTGATGGAAGATTGGAAATACCACCGGATTATCTAGCTAATTTTAAACGTGCGGAAATGGCATTTTTGTACCAACGCGTTTTTGACATCGATACTCAACGCCTGGTAACACTAAATCCAATTCCCGAAGGTATTGACATCACACAAGATAACGAATACATTGGATCGTATCCTTATTTTTAATGTTCAGTTATCATTAGAAATTCTCTGGCATTACCTTAACGGATTTCCTGGACGAATAGGGATCTTGAGCCCATCATAGCAGCTGGTATCGCGACCGGTGATCTTAATCCGTTCACCAAACAGCCAATGTTAGATGTGACATCCGAGGTAACAATCTCGATGGTTAATCTAAGGAAAAGTGAATTAAAGTGAAAAATCTACTTGAATTTTAAAAAGGGAGCCGGTTTCGGCCCAGAATATAGTAGTGAGGCTAACTGGTATTCAGTAATTCCTACTTCCTATGGAGAAGAATATCAAGTCGCTTTTCAGGTAACTGGTCAATGCGTGCTTACTGCGGTGATGATGAAATCCTAAGAATAAATGATTAATAATTTGCACAGTCACTTGCGGAAGGTGAAAGCTTGCCCGAGGTATGATTAATAGATCGAGGGATCACGTGCCGATCTCAAGGTGGAAACACGAAGGATTAACATCCGATGGATCAGAGTCTGATCCCTTTACTCTTTAACAATGATCGATAATAACAATGCAAATAGACTTACAAATAAGGTTATGTTTCCTAAAGTAGGTTTTGAATAAAATTAATGATGATTCAATAGTGCAAACGCCCTATAAACGTTTTGAGGAGGCCACTCTCGAATCCGAAAGAAAATCAAATATTCAACACACTGATAACATGAAACAAGTAGAAGACAAAGTCCAAGGAGTAGATTCGCCAATGAACAATAACAAAAAATGCTTGAATCGGCGGTCAACATCACATTCTGAAGATGTATTCGAAGGTAAATAAGAATTGCATACATCCTTCATTTTTATAATATATCTTAATGAATGGGAAAACCGTGCCTATAGAAAACTTGAAACGAGTCGTCAATGGTTGGACCAAAAAATATTCCCGCGTACATATGGTAAATTGAAAAGATCATCATAAACTTCGCTGCAATATAGTACATAATTAAATGAGTCACATTAAAAACATGAGATCTACTTCCTGGTAAAATAAATTTGTATCACATGTAAAACACACGAGATCGGAATAGAGAACGTATTCTGTAGTAGATCATTTGAACGTTTTTGATCCCAAAAGCACGAAGAAAAAATGTCTACGGATAAAAATGAGAATCGACACCAAATGAACTTAACCGCCTCATTACAGAAGGTGATTAAATTAACGTGTGAACTTTTAAAATAATATGATTGGTGCGACTATTATTATTCATAAATACATAAATACCTCTTGTACGCTTTCATACTCCAGAATACACACGTAATGGGTAAAAGGAAAGACGCGGAACCTATTAATAAGCCATTTGCTAAAAAAAAACGCTCTATGAGCATTAATAAAACCGGGAGAGGTGGTGGTATAACACGCGGTGGTGGAACCAGGGGTCGGGGTGGTAGAGGGGCTGGTGGTCGAAAACCAAGTATACATCGTCAACACTCCTTGCAAGAGATATCGGAAGGATCGAATTTATATTCAGCTGCGACTACACCAGCACCTAGCACCGCACCTTCAACACCTCGTGAACCCTTTATTCCTTCCGTTCCGCAAACACCAGGTGAAGAAATTGATCAGTATATACTGCGCGAAGAAGAAATCACCGATCAAGACTTAACAAGAACAA